ATCAAGATATTTAACAGAATCGTCCCTAATACTGAGCCCTGGGGAACACCACTTGTGACTGATTGCCAACTGGATTTGACTCCATTCACCACCACTCTCTGGGCCCGGCCGTCCAGCCAGTTTTTAACCCAGCGCAGAGTGCACTTATCCAAGCCGTGTGCAGCCAGCTTCTCCAGGAGAATGCTGTGGGAGACAGTGTCAAAGGCCTTACTAAAGTCCAAGTAGACAACATCCACAGCCTTCCTCTCATCTACTAAGTGGGTCACCTTGTCATAGAAGGAGACGAGGTTAGTGAAGCAGGACCTCCCTTTCATAAACCCATGCTGGCTGAGACGATCCCCCAGCTGTCCCACACGTGCCGCGTAATGGCTCTCAATGATTTGTTCCATGGCCTTTCCCAGCACCGAGGTCAGGCTGACAGGCCTGTAGTTCCCCGGATCCTCCTTCCGACCTGTCTGGTAGCAGAGACATTCATATGGCACAGATATGCCCTGAGAAGGGGATACGTTTCACTTAGCAAAGAGCAACCCCTCACATTAGACCTTTGCTTTGGTGCAGAAGCTCTGTGGTAGCTTTGACAGGAAGCAAACGTGTCCCTTAACTCCTCTTCTTTTCCATTTTGACAGGCAGCTCTCATTAGTCCTGTGGTCCCCTTGGCTCAGGACATGGGTTGCTTGAGGAGAGTCACTGCTTTTAGATTTTCCATCTCCATGGAGCTCTGCAAGCTTGTTGGCTTTACTGACTCACCCCAACTTCCCATGCCCCAGACCAGAGAGACTTTGCTAAATAAAGGTTTAATTCACAAGTCTCGTGGTCAGGCTTATAGTTACAAGCAAAACAAATACAAAGCCTACTTCTTGCCTGTGCTTGATAATGGGATAAGCAAATAGGAAGGTGCAAGCTGTATGATAGTCACTAGGAGACTGCTGAGAAACCACTCTCCAGCTTACAAGTACAGCTGTGTTTTAAACAGCCCTCATGGTCCTACCAATCCTGTATCATTTCTCATGGCTAGATTTTGGGAACAAATCTGGATGCCAATCCAGAGTGATTTTGAGGTATTTAGCAGTGATTTCCCAGTCTCCCCCCAGCCTCCGTCCCCCGTTTGTTTCATCAGTTCATCAATTAATGGATGTGCAGATCGTTATGCTATTAATAACTGTTCTTGGCTCTGCACACTTTGGCAGCCACCCACCTTGTCTTTGGTCTGGAGATGGATGTTCTTCATCTAGTATGAGCTATTGGCCTTGCTCTGGATGATTGATACACCCCTGTCAAATGTAGACTGCATCAATTGTTAGCAGGGCATATGACTGTTAACAGGATGATGCATAAGGTGTACATGTGACAGACCTCATTCCAGTTGTCTTATCCAAACTGCTTTCTGTTCCACAACTGTGGAGTTTTTAGAGGAGCATGAGGACCTGTATGTGGCAGGAGTAGGTGTGTGGTTTTCTCCTACAAGCTTGTTCTGTTCTTCATGTAATTTTGTTGTACTATTGTAAACCATAAATGCTAATTTACATGTATTTTGATAAAATATTTTGTAGCATTGAATTTGCAGTTTTCAATTAAACAAGACTCCTTTTTCTCAATATCACTATGGAAAATTTCTGCTCCTTCTTTCCATGCAATCTCCTTATTTCCCTTCTCTCCCCTGTCCCCCCACATTGCCATACCAAGATGTGTGACTGTGGTTTATGTTCAGCATTTCAACTTCATTACAGCCCTTTCTTCACCATGCGCTGTTGAGGTGATTGACGCTTTTCAACATGTTACTAATTTGTGGCTTTGCGTATACTTTGTACATTCATGTATTTCTTGTTCTCTATTTCAGAGATGGTGATGTTGCTGGAATGGTGGTCAGGCACCGATTGCACACTCTACACTGATCCAGAGAGTTACCACAAGTATGGGAAGGAGAATGCCATCGTAATCCTTAATCACAACTTTGAAATCGACTTTCTCTGTGGTTGGAACTTTTGTGAAAGATTTGGGGTCTTGGGGGTAAGTTTTGATTAGCATTTAAAATAAACTTCCTCTTCTTGCATGTGGAAAAAAGCCAAAACAAATTCTTTGTGTTTTTTGAAAGTTAACAGATATGTGCTCAAATTTCGCTCAGCCACTGTCCAGACTTAGAGAGGTGAACCTAAAGCAATGCAGTGCAAGTATGCAGACTACTGAGACAGGATTGCTTGGGCATGCACAGAAATTTTAAAAGCATTGCAGTTAAAGCTGATGAAGGAGATATTTTTTTAACCTGTGGAGGTCATTACAGTTGTTTCTCTCTGTGGGCTTGCTGGGTAACTGTTACAGTTCATTGTGCTGCAGAAAGATGAGCTCTTCCGTGATTCTTTCCCAGGAAATTGTAGAATTTGTTTGCTTTCTCCCGTGTAGTCTTACAAATCCACAGCTAGAGTTTGAATGATGTAGCCTCTGTCTCTCAGAATCAAAGAGCTGCCATCTCAAGTAAAAGCAGTAACCAGGTTATAGCTAGTAAGAGGTGGGGGAGGAATGAGTTATGCATAGGTGAATACATGTGTGCATTTGTTTTCAGGGTTGTTTTTTTTGTTTTCCCTGTCAGCTCATGGGGCTGATGAAGTCAAGCCAGCTTGACTTAGTTCTGTGGTGGTGACAACATTCTCTACCTACAAGGGATTTAGATAAGAGTTCCACTCTCCTAAGAAAGCAGACTAATACCTCATTTTGGTTTGTTTTCTGCACCATCCTCTTCTAACTGCTGCTGGCCACTGTCAAAAGTCCTGCCCTTGGATTGTGTGGGCCTATGACTTTTTTGTGGCCTTTCCTTTGGTCTCTTGGCATTTTCTGGACATTTAGGCACCACTCCAGTCACTTTCGCATTGTAATAATAACAGTCTGCTTAAAAAAATAAAAAGGGGACTTAAAACTAGAGGAAAATGAACCTAAGCATTACAGGCCCTGCATATTACCCAAATGGTTGTTGGCTCCTGATTACTGAGGAACAATTCTACTGTCATGTCTAAGACTTGAGCACAGAGCAGGAGGATGGCATGAGACAGCAGGAGATATAGGGAAACCTGTTTCTGGTAGGCAGATGTATGTGCCAAAAACATTCTCCTCTATCTAATTTGGTAAGCCTAATGGCTACAGTTTTCTAAATAAAGCTGTGTTTTAGAGGGTCAGGTGCTTCTTCAGAAAGCACCACTGCAGAAAATTAAAGGACTATTTCTGTACAAACTAATAGGGGCCTACAAGGTCAAAAATCTGGTTTTACATTGGTGCTGTGTGGTTGGATTTAATCTCATTAGCTTTAATAATTTTTTTCTAGTTTCCTTTCAGTGTTTTAATGTTTATACTGGTCCCTACACATAAGAAAATCGCTACATAAAAGCGTGCTGCACTAACTGAAAATAATTTTTCCTGTATTTAGATGCTTACAGTTATTACTCAGTTTGTATTTTTGTTAATCTGAGGATTCTTTTAGGAACTGATATATGTTGTTTATGGTTTTTATTTTTTTAAACTGTTTCAATCTTGAGTAATGTACTGTGGTTTTACTTCCCAGAAACTGTTCCAGGAAGAAATAGTTCCCATGTGCTCTTATTTGCGTAGATGTCTCTACACAGCAAAGCAGTGCATTTCCCTGTTGGGGCAACTAGTCAAGGTTCATCTTAAGCCAGGTTAAAAACAAAAAAAAAAAAGAGACAAAAAAAAAAACCCAAAAAAGACACACAATCTGTTTTGTGAATGGATTGTCTGTATTGGCATACTGGTACTTGGATTGGGCAGCATGGGAGTGGATGAATGCATAGGCATAGGGGGTGTAGCTTGGTTTGACTTTGTGCTGCCTTACATGAGTTTGTAGTGTGCAAAGCTTCAGGGTTTGGTGTGGCAGCACAATTAGGAATGTAAGAACCATTATGCTGAGGGCTGGTTGTGCTCTGTCTTCAACAGAGGCTAAAAGCAGATGTTTGGGAAAGGAGTTAGTTACAAGAAAAAGGCAAGTGTCCAGAGAGATTTCTAAGTGGTGTCCCAGCCTCCAGCATTTTGTTGCTCAGGAACTTTGTGAGCCAATGGGGTTTTATATTTAATGCTGTTTAATTTTATACTCCATGAAGTTTCTATGCAAACTTCAGGTATCTACCAACATCTTACTGAGCTGATCTTGTGTCCACTGCTGCTGAAAAGGAAATCTTGCTCTTGCCGTCCTGTCTCCTGCATCTGTTCTGGTGCTTGTCCACCCTGTGTTGGCATGTGTCAGACACCCCTTCTCTCTCCCTGGCCTTAATTAATCCAATGAAAAAAGGAGATGACTGGGGAGGAGGAAGAGGGCAAAGGTGAAGACAACTTACGGCCGAAGGAGTGGGACTGATTGAGCTTGGCTGCAACAGGCAGACAGAATGGCTTTGTTGTGACATCCAGCTGTACCCTGCAGCCCTGGCAGGCAGCGGCAGTGTGCTTCACGGTGCTCCAAGCATGTGTCCAAACTCTCAGTATTTTACAGCTTGAACTTTTATTAAATGAAGCCAATAAGAACTGTATTTTTTTGCTTGGTTTTGCTCATTTAAAACCAAAATTAAACTTCCTAAAACCTGTCTTGCCTCTTCTGGCCCCAAAAGAAAAAAGTCTTTCCCTTTTCCTCTATGTTTTTAATCATGATATGAAAACTGTCTCTCCTGGTCTTAGTTGTAACATTCGGTCTGTGCGTTGTTCTGCTTCTTCCTTTGTCTCTCTTCTTCAGTACTGGCTTTGTCCTTTCTCCTTGTAGCCAAATTGCCGTAGTCCCAACAGGTTTATAATGCTCTATCAATGTGGTTTGTGTTTTGTTTTTTTTTTTTTTTTTTTTAAATCAATGTGGTTTTGGTTTTTTTGCTCTTTTCAGGGGGTGGGGGTGGCATAGTCTCTTGCATGTTGTTAGGTTTGTGAACATGAGTCCTCTTCTAAGGACTCAGTTTTTGTACTTTGGTGGCATGAGGTTCTCTGCTTTCATGAAAAATAACCAAAGGAGAAGCTAAGAATATAAGGGGGGGGCAGGGGGAGAAAAGAACGGCAATTCTAACATGTATTCTACTTGTTAATTTTGTCTTTAATATGATACTTCTGGAGCACCCATTGAAAATACTAGGAGGTACTCGGTTGACAGTACTAAGTGAGAGCCAGAGATCTGTTCATTTATAGCAGAGAAGGAGAAAACCACATCAAGAAGCAATTCTATGCTGACTTTTACTCTTGCAAGTTATTGTAGCCACTGAGATTGTCTTGCTAGCTGAAGTTACTGATGTGTAATTGTTGACAGTACCAAACCCTAGAAGATTTTTGGTTGTTATTGGAAAATAGAAGAAGAAAGCCAACTTCACAAAAACTAGAAGTCAACAAGGATTTTGGGCAAACCTGTGTTCAGCCCAATACAATGACTTGCATGTGTATTCCACTTATGTTTTTTTGTGAAGGGGTCTTCCTGTTTTGTTTTCAGTCCTTGACACCCATCAGCCACACGTACCCGCCTCCTTGTGCTGCCAGACCTCAGCGATGTGTGCAGGAGGGAGGGAATACAGAGGTGCTTGATGCCAAGTCAGCATCTTGCTGCCATGGGCAGCACGGGCGTCCATGGGGACAGCTGGGTCCTGATTCCTCCTGACACAGAGGTGGCTGCAACAAGCTGGGAGGGAAGGAGGAGCTGCGCTGCTAACTTGGCTTTCTGTAGAGTTGGAAACAGCATAGCCACAACAGGACAGAGCTTTGTCCATGCCAGTGTTGCCTAATAAAAGGCAGGGTGGTTGTTATGATCCTGAGCCAGGGTGAGTGCTATGGTTGTGTTGTGAATGCTCTGTTTTTCCACCCCATGCCAGTGCAATGGCTGGGGGAGATGCCGACTCCGGTATCTGTGTGTTGCTCTGTTGTGTAAAGAGAGATGCGGTCTTGGTGACAGGTCCCTGCACTCTGCTGTGCCCTTCCCTTTTCCTGCCTGTGACATGCCAGTCCTAGGACTTACCATCTTCTTAGTGGTGGGCAGCCTAGCTACTGTATCAGCATTTAAACACGTTAGTAGCATTTAGCTTCTTCAAGGTGTCTGCTAAGCATCCCTTTGATAACTGACCTACTGGACACCAGAACTTGAAATTAGGACATAGGCATGTTCTGAGGGGGGAGTTGTTATTCAGGACTTACACCTTACTCCCTGCCAGGATTCACCATACCCTTCTGCTTTGTTGCTTGATCTAACTAAGCAGTGATAAAATAGCTTATTTTAGTAACACTTTTTCTGAGATGAAGACATTTATATTAGCAAAAATTGCCTGCACTTTAAATCTAAAGCTGCTGGTTTATCTGTTCATCTTCTGGTGTCTTGAGTTTCAAGTTATTAATGCTGATGATCTTTCTACCTCGGCAAAACATAAACATTATTCTGAGTGGCTCATTATGTTGGCATCAAAATATGTGCATTTCTAAAAGAGGCCATAGTTGTTTATTCCTTGGCAGGGTAGAGAAGGCAGAAAACCATTATGAAAAACTAGTTGTTAACTATCTTGCTTTACGTTTCTCATAAAAAATTGCTAAGCACATGTAACAATTTTTAACCCTAACTATCTGTTCCATATGCCAGGAAACCCAGATTTTATTTAAAAGTTGTTTATTTTGAAGCTTGCTGTTGGAAAAACTGAGCATGGCCTTAAATATGGGTGTGAGAAGAGACTTTTACTAGGTTATTGTATGGGACTGATAGGTGTGTGAACCCAGTAGTTCATTTGTACATTTTAATAAATTAATAGAAGTTACGTAATTGTTCATGTAGGCAGCCAAAACTACATTATTATTTGTATTTAACACAACATCTTAGCATATGCTTGGGCATACATCCTCCAAAATATTGCTGTGTTACCTTTCCAACATAGAAAAGTTTTATTCAATATGAAGTGTTAGAAATTAGGAGCCTAACTAAATTTCTGGAACCATAGTTTGGAGGGACTAAAGAAACTTATCTTTCCATCTTGATGTCCCAGAGAGTGTAATATGAAGGAGTGCTGTATTTCAAAAATAGAGCAAACAGAATCATCAAAAGTATGTCAGTGCTGAGGGCAGCCTGGAGAGCAAATAACTTACGAGGCAGATTGCTGCTGCTAATGGTTTGCAGCTACAATGAATTTGTTTTGAAACTGTGGAACAAATTTTGTTAGACATGGGCTTGCAGGTTGATTTCGTGCTGTTTGTTGCATTCTGTGATCAAGAGGTGCTGAATAACTGAGGCTGGGCATATAAATCAAGATTTTCTTTCTGTGCAGCATAGCTGTGCAAATGCATCTAAAATAAACTTGTAAAAATAATGTTTTGTTATGTTATGTTAGTGCAGTCATTCACAAAAAGAGAATTTCGTGGCTATTTCCATCTGAACAAATTTTGCCGAAAGAAATTAACCTGGATTAAAATGCTATTACTGTAGACAAGTTGTCCCCATCCAACGGTAGTTTTCTTAAATATCTGTTGGAATTACACAGTTCTGAGCACTGAAAATGTTTGACTGCCTTCAAGAAGGCAGCTTACATGGAATAAATCAGCACTTCTTAATGACACTTATTCCGTTGAACAAGCTGAATTTGAAGGTTAGAGGTGACTGTCACACATTTACCAAAGCACTTTGGTAAAGGAAAAGATAGTGGCCGAAGTCAACTAGAGCTGCATTTTTCCCCTCAGGTATTTACACAGGAACTGTGCATGGGTAGATGACTGAAACAAAATAGATTGTAGCTCTAGTTATTGTAAGAGAGATGGTACCTTCTGAGGGAAGGGCTAATGTATTCCTCCAACACAAGAGCAGTCTTGCTAGTATAATGCACTGAAGAGTGTCCTTTCTCTGATTAGTTCTGTGTTATTAGTCTGCCCGCTACTCCTAGGATAGATGGGGTGCACAAAATAGCATAAGGTGATTTAGTTTCTTTTTATGTGCATCTAAGGAGTCATACACTCACGTGTCTAAAAGAGTGCTTTTAAATTTTAAAAATGCATTGGCACAGAAAATGAATGAGAACGTGTCCTGGGGAAGAATTCAAATATCTACTCTGCTTTTGTGGTTATACCTGTGGTATGTGACACCTTAGCTCACAACATCATTTCTTTGTTCCACTGGGGAAAAAAAAAAACACAGTAGCAACTTCTCTCCTGCCCCTTGTTTAACTCATATGCTTTTTAAAATATGCAAAATATTAAAAAATAGCTATGGTGAAATCGTTACTTTAGCTTGCTTTTTGGACTAGGATTCCTGTGTTTTAAAGTCTGAGAGGGAGGACTATTAGATTGTGTTGTCTGACTCCATGCTCTGGAGGCCTTGTACGTCCTATGCAGAGCACACTTACATTTGTTTATGGTAGGTCTTATGGTACTGAACACTCACTGTAAATAAACTTTAAAAGCGTGGCGTTTTTTTTCTGTTTTTTGGGGGTGACACTGTTGCTGTTTGCCTCATTGTGCAGTGGCTTGTGCTAGGCTGCGGCTGACAGCTGCCCTGGTCGTGGCTGAGGCGGGCAGTAGTTCCCTAAGGTTCTAGCCCTCCCTGCTCAGCTAGAAACACTTTGCATCTGTTGCGGTTTCTTGGGGCAAAGCCTTGGCTCAGCTGTCTTCCTCAGGCACGTACGGGGGAGAGGAATGGAAGAGAGCATGAACTGGCCTGCGTGCTTTGAATGGAAGCTATACTGTACATGGCCGACAACAAAAAATGCTCTTTGGAGGCCTTTAATGATACCTGCTAGAATTATTTACATTTATGTTGGAAATAAGAAAATTACTTGTATTAAGAGTGACTGAGAAAAGGAAAAACAGTAGTGTGGGGAAAAAAAACAGAGCGCTAAGGAAAGGGGTGGGAGGAGAGCCTGTTTCTCTGTGGCCAGTTTGGAGAGCTGGAAGAGGAGGCTGGCCTGAGCATTGCTGCTGCCATGCAATAGGCACTAATGTCCAACATGGCTTGAAATTGAAATGGCAAAAAGTGTGCTGAATCCTAGAGCTGCTCCTTGTGCGAGAGCTGGGTTTGGAGTCCTGATCTGGGCCCGTCACTGGAATTCTCAAATGAACAAGAGGGGGTGCTTTATTACAAAGTGTTAAATGATTTGATAGAGATGGTTCCTGCATTCTTAGAAACAGAATTGTCTCATGTCATCTTATGCTCTGCTTCTGTGTAACAGTTGCTAGTGAAGCTATGTGATGTGCACTTGCCTTCCAGTTTTAGGAGCTTTTAGAGAGCTGAATTATTTAAGGTATTTTCCTTCTCAAGGAGGGAGAGTAGATGAGAGAAATGAGCTGAGATAAAGAATTAGGTCAAGTCTCTTCCCCTAGTAACCAAATGAACAACAGTTACCAAAAAAATAAAAGTCAATAATTTCTGTTGATGGTAATTTCTACCAGTAAATAATTCCTACTAGTCAAATGCGATGTCCTGGAACCCATCTGCAGAGGAGAACCCATCTGCAGAGGAGAACGCATCTGCAGAGGACTTTGATTGGATAGCTTATAATGATATCATGGATAGAAACTGGACTGTAATTGCTCCATCTCCTCTAAGAAAATGTCATTGGTTTTCAGGAAATGCTGAAGCAACAATTTCTATACACACACACACACACACCATTTTATTCATGAAATAACAAAGTGAAACGCAAGACAGCTCACCAAGGCGGGCTGGCTTGGAAGCCAGGAAAGGAGCAAGTGGAATCAGTTCTCCTTCCAAAAGGGGTGTCAGTCTGAGATGATCACGGAGTTAAGTTCTGGAGTAGGATTTGAGATTTGAAACTTGTTGAATGCTTGATAAGCCACAGACGACTTTTGGAGGGTCTGGACAAATCACTTCAGTGTCTCTCACACCTGCACGACAGGAACAGTACTTTTCTTTTTTTTTTTTTTTTTTTTTTTTTTTTTTTTACACTCCAGAAGCATGCTTTGAGCAGAAATTCACTAGTGTAAGTATTTCTGCCCTTCCGTAAACAAACCTAAACACAAATGAAGTATTTTTATTGCTGCTGCGGTTTTGAGTGTTGTTTAAGGTTCCTTCCATTGGTAAACCCTGTGTATGCATCGGTATATTGTTGTGCAGCAATGGCTCTGTGTCTCTGCTTCTCATTCAGAATAGTGTTTTTTGTTTTGTTTTGTCATGATGAGATGCCCAACTTTGGGGAGAAGTATAGTTGCAAGTTATCTTAAAGGAACTTGAGTTGCCACTGCCCAGGGTCTGCTTGAATTAAGAATTAGTTTTATGTGGTTTAGGTCTATTGCATGGATTCTCAGTGTCTGAAGGAATTTGACTTGTGCTTTGGGTTTCAGGGTTTGAGTAGGATAGAGACACGCAAACGTGTGTGTGTGTATATATATTTAATTCTGGACGTCTTCTTTCATGCAGATGTCTGAGATTAGACTATTCTGTCGGTTGAGGAAAAACTTACTTGTTTTGCTTTTGCACTGGTGTTAAAACTGGGACTGGTCAGTTTGAATCAATATATTAGTGTCTAACTGTGCATGTGTCATACCCACAGAGAAATCTAAGTGGCGTAACTCTGTTTTACTTGTTTTGACTCTGTCTTGCAGAGTTCCAAAGTGCTTGCAAAGAAGGAGCTCTCCTACATGCCTATCATTGGCTGGATGTGGTATTTCCTAGAGATAGTCTTCTGCAAGCGTAAGTGGGAGGAAGATCGGAAAACAGTCATGCAGAAGTTGTTGAACCTCCGGGACTACCCTGAAAACTTTTGGGTGAGTGACAACTAACAAGTGGAGTGCGAGGTGCTGTAGTGCTTGGGAGGGATGAAGGGCATAGACAATATGTGATAGTCCCCAGCTTGCTCCCAAGAACTTTGATTCATGAGTTTCCTGGTAGTAGTAGGAGGGTATTCTCTAAGAATTGAGTTCTCTCTTGAGAATGTAATAGTCTGTCATTACTGTTTTCTTCTTCTGCTGTATGGAGCGCTACAGATGTTACTGCAAAAATACCTCCACTGTGATCCATTCAGTAATCTTTGTGGTCCTTCAAATGCAGGAGCTGGCAAGGGGTAGATGCTGGGGTTCATGGCAGTGTAACAGATGCATGTAACAATGTTGTATTGAAACACATTAACTGTATTCTTTACCTAAGCTCCCCTCTCACCTTAGATTGCTGAGTTCATACTAGTATTTTGTCCTTTAATTTCCCCTTGATTCTGCCATTCCTGTGAAGGTGCTAGGTTAGACATGGCCCAGTAGAAGGGGAAGCCACAGATAAGTACCTGGTCAGAGAAGTGGCCTCTGGGGCCATCAGCTGTGTTACAGGGAGAGGATTGGTGTCACCTTTCAGTAACAGGAAAGTGTTACTTTTTGCATCAGCATCATTTTTTAGTATTGAGCCTGCCTGGCAATTCCTAGCCTGGGAATGAAAAGCCTTTTGAATTTTTTGTCTTCTCAGTAATCAGAAAAATCCTAGTTCTCATGAGCTGGTGATGGCAAGAGAGGTATTCAGTTAAGGAAATGGTACCTTAAGCAGACTCGCAAGGGCCTACAGAAACCATTGCTTAAGAAGCAGTTTCCTAGTGAAGATGTATATGCTGTATCTCTCATTCTCTGAAACAAAACTTTTTTTTAATTGTCACTGACTTAAATGAGCACTAAGCAATCGAAACTAAGCTCTGTGCTTGGATGATTAAATGACTTCCAGGCAGGAGGCTGTCTAGCAAAGGGACAATTCTTGGTTTCTAGTTCTAATCTGTGTCACAGGGATTTGCCTGTGCTCTGTGACTCTTAAAAAGCGTTGAATGCCTTTCTGTACACCTAGGCAGTTCAGGACTAACTGGTGAGCACAAACCACCACCATCCTTTATATAGTGCTGTAGAGGGATTACTAAGAAGGAGCTATACCTGTAGTAAGAGAGACAGTTGTTGATGTACACCTGGGGTTATTGCAGTGTGGAGTTTTAATTTGCCTTTATATGGTGACATAACATCAAAAGTCACAGCAATAGCACCTTGGAAGGTAGAAAGACAGAGCACGTCAAGTGTGCTAGAATGATTTTCTCATCAGTTTCTGTATGTTTCATCTGGCTGTTTAACATTATGCATGTGATACATGAGTAAAAGTGCTTTTAGATGAGCTGGAACTGAAGCTGGCTGCTCAGCTAGTTTTCTTCAGTCCCTGTCTTTGTTGGCTAAATCCTTGCTGTGGGTTATGAGGACTTAGCTTGTGTGATTTGGCAATGCTCTCTGATGTGTTAGTTTGCATTCAGGCTTGGCAGAAAGCAGATGAGCAAGTGGTAAATCTCCAAAGATCTGTCTGCTCTCCCCTGCCTGCCAGTGGCAAAATTGTAATTGTTCATGTCTGAGCACTTCCACTGTATAGTTCAGAAGGGGATGAGGCTTTCAGTGGTCCTGCATCTACTGCCTTACATCTGTTATCAGCTCAGTCATTGGCATCAAAGTTACTGTCTGCAGTTATCAGTGGTCCTCATGCCATAGTGAAAGCAAGCAGCTTGGAGCGAGGGGAAGCAAGCTGGGCACTGAAGCATTTCCTAGAAATGTGTTTGGTTTAGACACTTACCAAGTTTTAGATACCGTGACACTCAAAAACCTCACCATCAGTGAGAGATTTGCGACAGGAGGTATGTTTTCAGTATTTTCTAACATCTCGTTAGAGATGGAGTGACTCATTTAGAGAAAGCAAGTCATTCTGATAGCAAGTAGCAGAGTTCAAACCAGAGGGTGGCAAATTGGATGGGTGGGGACAATTGAGAGAGTTTGGTTTGGGCTTTTTTTTTTTCTTTTTTTTTTTTTTTTTGAACTCCAGGGCAATTAAATTACCTAAATGTGTATGTGGCTACACCTGTCCCTGCTAGCAGTGTTCATTTGGGCTGTTGGTGGGAATTAGAGAGGCCTCTGGTCAGACAGATGTAGAAGACCTGAGCTGCTGTCTAACTGTAGTTCTCTCTTGGTTTTAGTTCCTGATTCATTGCGAGGGCACAAGGTTCACAGAACAGAAGCACCAGATTAGCATGCAGGTAGCCGAAGCCAAAGGACTGCCCAAGCTCAAGTATCACCTACTGCCACGAACAAAAGGATTTGCTGTCACCGTGCAGTGTTTGAGAAATGTAGGTAAGGAAAGTCACAAGGAATAATGCTAAATGGTTATTTCATCTAACTGCTGTCACTTTGCCATGCTGCTCTTTTCCCTGTAGCATGTGTCCTAGCAGAAAAGCCCTGGAACCTTTTCTGACCTTTCTTCCACTAGCCTGAGAAAATTAAAGGTTAGGTTTTACTAACAAAGTCCTGGGGCAACTTGGTTATTTTTTTATTTTTTGTTTTGTTTTCTGTTACTATGAGTCTGTATTGGGGGATCTCAAGTTGCATGTTTCATACCTGTTGCCAAAGGATAGTATTTCTTAGTATTTACTAAGCAATCCTATTCTAAATGAAGGAAATACGTCACTAAAGAATCTGAGGCAGTGTGCCTTAAATATTTTCTTGTGGTAAATATCTGCCTCAAATAACACCATTTTTAAATCAAAAAAATTCTACTTTAAATTTCTGTATAGAAGTACCCTTTAGTTTCTTTGTGGAAGTGGGGAGAGGGAGTAGACCTCGACTGAAGATACATGTAGGTGAAATTTATAAATAAATTATTTCTACATTACAGAACATGAGTAAGTTTTTCTTTGTTAATGTTGTTCTGAACTCCCCACCGCCCAGATATTTCTGGTTACTTGCATTTGCCAACTTTAAAGTGACATCAGTAAGAATATGGCACACGTGCCTTTGAAGTATTTTCTTTGACTAATACAATCCATCAAAGTCTTCTGCTGTGTACTTCATGGGCAAAGGAAAGACAGTACTAAGTAGCCGTAGTGCTACGGTATCTTTGGGGTTTGGTAGATTTGTGTGTTGTTAGAAGGCTGATATGTAAGAAAGACAAAGTGCTTAGTGGTTTAGAAGAAAATGTTCTAGCTTGACTGAAGTTAATGTCAAAACTTCTTTTGTCTTTGAAGACATGTTTTCATGTGGCATATCTGGGATAGCTGCTGTAAAAAAAGCTTTGCAGTCAGCTGTCTTGCTACCTGTCATGTTTCTTCTACATATCCTCTTGCAAGTCAGGTAGATGATATCACTGTTGTAGCTTGTCAGGCATCCATAACTTCCCGCTCCCAAAATGGATAGCATAGCTTGGATCTTTTCTGGTATGTGAAGTAGTAAGTTATGTGCAGCGTCCAGCAACTCCCTTAAGCACACAGTTTAACCTTCCCTTTTGAGTAAGGGTGACTGTTTTGCTGAGGGCGAGTAGAGATAGACTTGAGGCATTGAAGAAGAGCCAAGTCAAAACTCTGTGACCTCCAATGCCCTGAGCTGGGAATCAAGGACAGGTTATTTTGGTCGTGTTTTTGTTCTTTTCACTACTCTGTGTAAAGCAAGCAAAACATGGTATGATTGTGGACAAGTAGCTGATTTGTGGGAAAATGTTTCAAAAGGAAACAATTTTAGGGAACCCAAGTGACATTTATAAAAAGTTTGGGGCATTCATGCGATATACTGCAGTAATACTTCCTAGAATCCTAAATATTTGAAATATCTTCAGAAAAAAAAAGACTGAGATTGCTAGATTACTTATATACTTAGGGAACTGTATGTTACTACCTCAATCCAGAAGCTGTGACTTGCTGGATCAAACAGGGTAAGGCTAATAAGAAGGTAGTATTTCCCTGTGAGGGTTCAAGAAGAAGCACAAACAGTCATAGATAGTTTTTGTTGAAACTGTATAGCTTAAAAACCCAACCAAAAAACCTCTGAGGGAAACAACTGATGACCCCAGATCGGTGTTACAAATTCTTCTGGATATGTTGCTTTACTTGCCTTGTTGCTTTTTGCAGTGAGAGGGAGATAATAAGAGTTACTGTCTGGGTTACTGTGTGTTTCTCTCCTATGGAGACAAGGGGTACATGCGAAGAGCATTTGAAAGGCCTTTGTAAACAATACCTTATTTTTAGCGTTCCTTGTAACATTAATATGTACAGGTAACAAGGAAGTCCATAAATGTTTTTAGAATAGAGAATGTGAGGGACATCTGTTTTGACAGTCCATAATCTAGAAATATAAGTTCTATCTAGAAATTATTCCTTTCTTGCATGAATACTGATAGGATTTGACCGCTTATCTCTGTTAACCTGCAGTGTCATTTGGTACCCACCTTATATGCAGTAACATGTTGTTATAGGTGTCAATATATGCAGAAGCTATATGCTGTAGTAATTTAGGCATTTTTTCTTTTGAATATTTACATTGGTAAATAGTACTATTTGATTTGTTCACTGTAAATCCCTTGAGTCTCGTTGTTATGCTCTGCCTTATAATGTGGCCCGGGAAGTGACTGTATCCCTCTATTACAGCCTCAAATTACTTGTTCCAAACAGCATCAGTGTGACTGCTGAATTGCTGCTCTGTCTGCAGAAGAAGCAATGGCAACATGCAGATGTTCATAACTTCAGTTCAGTGACATCTCTAACGATCTACAAGAATGACTCTTGCAGGCTGACCTGTCTCTCTTGCGGTATGATTCACATCCATTTCAGTGGCCAAGTCTGCAGTGGGGCATCCCTGCACGTCTCTGAAAGTGAGACTGGTTCTGAGCCCGTTTTGGGGCCTGCCACTTAGGCTAATGCACTTTTTGCTCTTCCGCAAGGGGTGGTGGGCCTGGCTGGAGTGCCTTGCTAAGGGAGAGAACTGCAGCATGACATAGCAGTGAAGGCAAGCCAAACGTTTGGGTCTGGTTCCAGGCTGGGTGTGGCAGAGGTCAGTGTTTCCTTTTCCTCTGTTCTTTGTTCCTCCTTTCTGACAAGGGTGTGATTCAGCCTGGCTGTAGAGGTAATTCACCCACAATAGCAGTGATCACACCTTGGTCCTTTTCGAAACTTTGTATCAACTCTTGATGCTACCTGGTGTGGTAGGTTTGTGTCTGTTGGAAACAGGCATTGGTGACATCAGTCTGGCAAACCCATCTGTTTTGAAAAACTTAGCTTTAGGAGTTTTTCAAATGTGCATACATGGGAAACTGCCTCCATACCAGTGGTGTCATATCGGTCAGCATAAGCAGATATATTTGGATAAAATTGTCTTTCACACAAAATGACAAGTAAAGAACCTTCCCTCCTAACTCATTTCTTTCATAGGTGATAATGGATTTCTTTTCTCTTCAGAGACTTTCACAAATTCAGATCTCTGCACACAGTTTGATTCTTAAAGGAGTGCTTTTAATATTTTTTGAACTTGTTCTGATATTTTTATCAGTGGCCATTGCTACCAGTTTGGTAGTACAGATGCAGTCCTCAGGAACTTAATTTCTAGAAGCTGTTTGCTGTCTTAATAAATTGCTGTTAGGTTGTAGAGTTGGCTACTTGTACTGTTCAAGGAAGCAAATGAAAATACAGATCTGTTTCTAAAACACTCATCCATTACTTACAGTAAAAATAAATGCCATAAATATTGCAAAAGATATATTTAACTGTTACTTTTATTGCCTGGCTGTATATCAGGCAGTTCCTTTCAGCTGTTTTTATTTAGTTAAGACTTATATTTTAAAATGTGCTTCATGATGGATTGTAGATAACTCCAAGTTGTCAACCTTTTCCTCCAGTTGTGTGTGCTGGGAACTACTGTCCTAGAGGGAACACAGGAGAATAAATTCCACAGTGATTTTTTTCATGGAGTTCAATATGACAGTGTTTGGGGGTTTTGCAATGACTTTTTTTCCTATGAGCTGCACTTTAGCCCTGGATTTTTCTCAATGTTTAATGAGGCTCCTGGTCATCCTCCTGAGCAAGCTACCAAGTTTGAGAGGATGAGTGATTTTTGACCAAGATGACCAGAGCAATGACATGTTAAATCAAAGAGTTGTGTCAAGGTGGCTGCCATACCAGCAGTACAGTGAATCCCATCCCCATCCCGTCTCTTCCCCTGCCTTTCCCAGTCTTCACTTCAGATCATTGTCTGCTACTATGAAGCTGTGTAGGCATACTCATTGCCTGTAGGTTGATTTGTCAGATGATCATTCTGGCACAATCCACCATATCCACAAAATAATGCATGAATTTCAAGAGGACAGCTGAAGTAAGAAAAATCCTCTCTAGATACGTAATCCAAAGATTTCTTAGGTCGAAAATAAGAAATTAAATCTTAAATTCTTAAGTATGTAGCTCTTTGTCAGAATGCTATACAAGGAACCAAAAGTTAAAGATACAAAAAAAAAAAAGCTGAGCAGAGATTAGAAAACAAAACAAAAAACCTACCATTTTTGTAAGAAAATAGCAATTCAGCTGGAAGAATTTTGTTTTCAGTTATGATCTGTTCTGAGCCTTTGAAAAGGCTTCCAAATATTGAATTGTGTTAGGTTTTTAATGAAAAACATGTTTTAAGATAACTTCTTTGAGAAAATATTTTATTTCACAATTGAAGCAAAACTTCTCAAACGCTGCCTATGTTGGTCTGAGAGTGAGACAGTTGCAATGTTTTCAAGATACTGTGGAGGGTTTTTTTTTATTTGGTTTAGAATGTGAAATTTCTGGACTCTTCAGCTCTTGGATGAGAAAGTCATGTAATGTCCAGTTCTAATTATGTAATTACAAAATACACATTTAATGAAAAACAATTCCAGTGTGTCACACAGCATGCTAGTGCTGCTTTGGCTGTGGAAGCTTTCTGGCAAATTCTAATTCTGTGCAGTCTTTTTCTTTGACATGTCTAGTGTTGTTCTTTTCCTGCACTTTCAAAATGGAAAAGCTTAAGTCTTCACTTATTTTATATCTCGATATAACAGAGGTCTGTTTACTCCTGCATGTTATCGTTGTCTTGGATTTGGCACTGCTTTGCACCAAAAGATTCCAGTGTGATATTAAAAAGGACTGAAGTGAATTATCAAAGTACAGACCACTTACAAACTAGAATGGGATCTTTTTTCCCTGGAGCGAAGGAAAACTCTGTGTATGGCTATGTTGTGGTTCAACCCCAGCCAGCAACTCAACACCACCCAGCCACTTGCTCACTCCCCCCCACGGTGGGATGGAGGAGAGAATCAGAAGAGTAAAAGTGAGAAAACTCATGGGTTGAGATAAAGACAGTTTAATAGGTAAAACAAAAGCCGTGCATGCAAGCAAAGCAGAACAAGGAATTCATTCCCTACTTCCCATTGGGAGGCAGGTGTTCAGCCATCTCCAGGAGAGCAGGGCTTTATCACACATAACAGTTACTTGGGAAGACAAATGCCATCACTCTGAACGTCCTCCCCTTCGTTCTCTTTCCCCCAGCTTTATATGCTGAGCATGACATCATATGGTATGGAATATCCCTGTGGCCAGTCTGGGTCAGCTGCCCTGGCTGTGCTCCCTCCCAGCTTCTTGTGCACCTGGCAGAGCATGGGAAGCTGAAAAGTCCTTGACTGGTATAAACATTAATTAGCAATAACTAAAACATCAGTGTGTTATCAACGTTATTCTCATACTAAATCCAAAACACAGCACTATACCGGTGACTAGGAGGAAAAATAATTTTATACCAGCTGAACCCAGGACAGGCCATCAGCACATAAAGATGTTCCTGACCAACTCTGCAGAAGTTTTTTCAGAACAGGAGACCCATCTTCCAATGTGTCTGAACAAGCACTCAATTAATATCAAAACTCAAGTGTTCTTTCATCTTTTAGAAGATGTCTGCAAGTGCTGCTTACATCATACTTTCCTTTATTGTGTCCCTGTTGTCGTTAGAATAATCTCATGCTATTAAAGAATAAACTAAGAAGCTTACCCTGTATAAACCAAATTGAGCTCTTGTCTTCCTTCAATTACATTGGATTAGTAAATTAGAGTAGATTAGTAAAATCCTTCTAAACTAAGAAGCTTAAATATGGAGGTAGATAATTTATTCAAAAAAAGTAATTTCCTACTTATGTTGTACAGGGAGAGTAGAATCATAGAATGATTTGGGTTGGAAGGGACCTTAAAGATCATCTGGTTCTAACCCCCCTGCCATGGGCAGAAAAAATCTTCCACTAGACCAGGTTGCTCAAAGCCACATCCAGCCTGGCCTTGAACATCTCCAGCGATGGGGCATCCACAGCTTCTCTGGGCAACCTGTTCCAGTGCCTCACCACCCTCAGAGTGAAGAATTTCTTCCCAATATCTAATCTAAACCTCCCCTCTTCTAGTTTGTAGCCATTACCCCTTGTCCTATCACTATGATCCCTTGTAAAAAGTCCCTCTCCAGCTTTCTTGTAGGCCCCTTTCAGGTACTGGAGGACTGCAATAAAGTCTTCCCGGAGCCTTCTCTTTTCCAGGCTGAACAACCCCAGCTGCCTCAGCCTGTCCTCATAGGAGAGGTGCTCCAGCCCTCTGATCATCTTCATGGCCCACTCCACTCTGGACCCACTCCAACAGGTCCATGTCTTTCCTGTGCTGGGGGCTCCGGGTGGGGTCTCACGAGACCTGAGTAGAGAGGGAGAATCACCTCCCTCGACCTGCTGGTCACGCTTCTTTTGATGCAGCCCAGGACATGGTTGGCCTTCTGGGCTGCGAGCGCACATTGCTGGGTCATGTTGAGCTTCTCGTAAACCAACACCTCCAAGTCCTTCTCCTCAGGGTTGCTCTCAATCCATTCTCTGCCCAGCCTGTATCTGTGCTTGGGATTGCCCCGACCCAGGTGTGAGATCTTGCATTTGGCCTTGAACCTCATGAGGTTCACATGGGCCCAACTCTCAAGCTTGTCCAGGTCCCTCTGGATGGCATCCTGTCCCTCAGGTGTGTCAATTGTACCACTCATCTTGGTGTCATCTGCAAACTTGCTGTGTGTGCACTCAATCCCACTGTCCACGTTGCTGTCAAAGATGTTAAACAGCACCAGTCCCAGTATGGATCCCTGAGGAACACCACTCATCACTGGTCTTCACTTGGACGTTGAGCCGTTGACTACAACTCAGTAGTGAGCTTGCTGTGCACCCTCCTCAGTGCCCTAAGGCTCTTGAACTCCACCATTTCATGGTCACGGCAGCTAAGGCTGCCCTTGAGCTTCACATTCCCCACCAGCCCTTCCTTGTTGGTGAGCACAAGGTCCACCATAGCACCTCTCCTCGTTGGCTTCTCTGTCACTTGGAGAAGGAAGTTATCATCAATGAATTCCAGGAACCTCTGGGATTGCTTATGCCCTGCTGTGTTGTCCCTCCAACAGATATTGGGGTGGTTGAAGTCCCTGCTGAGGACCAGGGCTTGTGAACGTGAGGCTGCTCCTATTTGTCTATAGAGGGCCTCATCCACACGGTCTTCCTGGTCTGGTGGCCTGTAGCAGATCCCCACTCTAATGTCACCTGTCCCTGCCCTCCCTTTAATCCTGACCCATAAGCTCTTCGTTGGCTCCTCATCCATCCCCAGGCGGAGCTCCATGCACTCCAGCTGGTTGTTGACAGAGAGGGCAACACCCCCTCCTCGTCTCCCCTGCCTGTCATTCCTAAAGAGCCTGTATCCTTCCATTCCAACGCTCCAGTCATAGGAGCCATCTCACTACTCTGTGATTCCAGTAAGATCATAGCCCTGCAGACGTGCACACATCTCTAATTCCTCTTGTTTATTCCCTGTCCTATGTGCATTTGCACAGAGGCATTTAAATTGGGCTCCCGATGAAGCTGACTTACTGGCTGGAGTGGCTGAATTCCTTTGTGGTGGTCTTCAGGTGCTCTCCTGCTGACCTGTGATCCTTCTCCAGGCTCTGAGCATCTGTTGCTGGCACTGGCATCAAACTGGTAGGAACGGGATGGATTGAGGTTCCCCTCCCCCTGGCAACTTTAGTTTAAAGCCCTCTTTACCAGCTTGGCAAGCCTATGAGTGAAGGTGCTCTTCCCCTTCTCTGACAGATGGACCCCATCAGCCCCTGGTAGACCAGGTTTCTCAAAGCAAGTCCCATGGTTTAAGTAGTTGAACCCCTGGCTGTGGCTGTAACCATTTATTGATTCACCAACAAATGGGTGTTTGTGTGTGAAAACTGATCTTTTTAGTGCGCTTGAAGTAGATTTTGGCTTATGTAGTGTGGTTTTGAGCTTGGGCTAAAAACCCAACTGTAGTAGGAAAAGAATAGAGTTGTTAATGCGCAATACAGTCCATATGCAGTGACAGGGTTTTGGCCTCTGTTTTCAGGATTTCCTTGCAGTGCTGAAGCTAGGCTGTTCTGTGCTGTGCTATGGATTCTGTTTTGCAATAAGAAATGTTGTGGTGAGTTTCTGGGGGCTGAATGTTGTGACCAAGCCATATTTATCTCTCTTAGCTAGGGAGGCTTCAAAACCAAAAGCAAATCTGTTCTGTGTGATAAAAGGCTTTCTTAGGTGGGTCACAATAAAGGTTCATCACTATTGCAAAACTCTAGAGCAGAAAGCCTAAAATACAGCAAGCTACGTGTGAAGTGCATGTTAGTCACTTTTGTGACAAAAAAAAAAAAAAAGTTATTGCTGGCATTGATCTTAGAATTTGTACCATGATGTACAATTGGTTTCAGTGTCAGGAAAATTAATTGCTCTCTGGTGATTTTGTGACAGTAGGAAAATAGTGTCTCTAAGGATGTGGTCAAAGAAACTCTTGAAATACCTGATGTGGTTTAAAACAGTGAACACTTTTTCTGTAGAAACTGGTGGTTAATGCTGCCTTAGTTTAACTATGAATGACCTTCACTAATACTTTTACTGTTACCGCGTGGTCCTGAACTGCAGAAACAACTGCAGAAACAGTGTTTTCTCGAGGCTGAAAGTTTGGTTGCAGTTTTGTTCTGTGGAACTTGGATGTTGTATTCCTCACAGCTGCCTGTCTTCATAGCAGCAGGCCAGCTCACACAGGACATGGTCTGTTATTCTGTCTCTACCTTTGCCCTATAGCAAGTGCCTCAGTTACCAAATAATAGACATGAAGGGGAGGTTGTTTTGAACCTCAGCAATTCATAGTTGTATTAAGCCCTCTTGCTGTAGGATGTGTCTCACGCACGCTTTACCTATTCTTATTCAAACTGTATATATTGTTCATTTTTTTATAAAGTATTTATCTGCTTGGTTATTTACTCAGATCTGGGGGGGAGTTGCGTCATTCACAGTGAGTTGAGAAAGCTAATAGTTTTTCAACCATTTGACTCCTAGGATGTCCTAGCTATATTAACTGTCAGAAACTGTAACGGTGTTCCCTATGCCCAACATTCTGCACCTGGCAGGGAAGGAGCCAAGGGTGGAGAGCAAACCCTTCCATTCTACTGGTGCAGTTCCTGAAAGAGTCACTGGTTATTTGTCTTCTTAAAACCTGCATGTTGAATATTCCATTGTCATCTTTAACTTGGTGACAGCTCAAACTATGGTGCTATTGCTGATGACTTTGTATTTAAATATACTCCTTGTCTGAGAGAGATTGACTTATTTCCATTCTATTACTACAGTAATCACATAACCTGTTTCTCTTTTTGTAGTTTCTGCAGTCTATGATTCTACCCTCAATTTTAGAAACAATGAGAATCCAACATTGCTGGGAGTTCTAAATGGAAAGAAATATCATGCAGATTTATACGTAAGGCAAGTAATCCATATTTTAATTCCTTTTTGGCATACAGAAGCGTGTACTTGCAGTCACAATTGCACAAGTAAGGAAATACTTTCAAGTAGGTAATGAATAGCAAATCTCTACCAACCTGGCTTCACAGAACTCCAGATAAAAACACGTATGGGATGGGAAGGGTTTCTTGTAAAGTTCTGTGACTAGAAATATGTGGGGACCCTATAAAGCTCTACAGGATTTTTTGTTTGTTACTTTTTTATTCACTTGTGTGTCTATTTGTCAGCTCAGCAGCAACAGTGGGGCCTCTTTTCACTGACTTGGCCAGAATACCAAACATCTACTAAGTGTTCTGATGGGGTGGCTTTACACCTGTCTCTGGCACAGTAGTTTCCACTCAGGTGGAGGCCAGGCTCAGGGCTGTTCCCATCTCTGTTTGGTGTAGTTGTTGATGTATTTGACTGCTGCTCCCTCCCTACCAAGAAGGGGGTCATTTAATGAAAAAACAATTACTTGGATTCTGTATCATTAGCGTTTCTGTAAGTGATGAATACCCCAATGGCTTCCCATAATCTTAATGAGAATGCGGCAACTCCAAGGCCCCTATTTCCAGGCCAGGTTCTACGAGCAGCACCCGTGCTACAGGCACGCAGGGTATGTGATGGTTTAGGGTTGGACCATAGGAGCCCAGAAGTGATCCCACAAGTGATCAGTTCATCATAAGCCAATTACAGCTATAATTGGCTGGTCCAATTGGTTTGTCTTGGGTACCAACATGAAGTGGAGTGGGGTGACCTTTTCTTCTTACCTCCCCTTTTGTGCCTGTTTGAAAAAATATTTTCTTCAGAACTGTTTTTGCCCAAGGGTAAAAAGAAACTCTCTCTTGATTCCTCATGGATGCAACATGAGTTTGCATTCCCACTTGGCTCTCATGGGTAGCTCAGCCTAGTGGCCTTGTGTTTGGTGTACATGGGCTGGCTGGCTAGTATTCGTGGAGGAGCAGCTGGCCATACCTGTGTGGGCCATTCCTTCAACAGTGTAGCGGTGTGCATCTTCCTGTGACTCCCTTTACACCCTTCCAGCCTGCTGCAAGTTAACCTGGCAGAGCATGGAAATTGCTTTTCATGACTTGGGCTACCTATTTGCACTTCTGTCCTTTTGTGCTTCCTGAAAAGCTCTTACAGGCAGGTTAAACCTCATGGCAAAATTTTTTTTTTAATTAATTAATTAATTTTAATTAATTGGAGACCGTCACAGATGTTCTTCAGAATTCTTCATATTTGCTTATTGAAGTGCGGTAGGTGTTGCACTCAGTAGAATTTTTTAAAATTTGGATGGCCTTGTTTGTGTCTGCTTAAATTGTGTTGACTTCTAATGTTTGTCATCTTATGACTTTTAAATAAAGGAACAAAACAGTAGTGTCGCACCTCTTAATTTATGAACTGCAAACAGGAGTGCCCTGACTGTGAAAAGTGCTCTCTCCTGTGCTGAAGAAAGTTAATTTGATGTTGCTCTTAATGGATATTAATTAAAATATATGCTATATTGAAAAATGCAAAATTATTAAATATTGCTATTAGCATACCTAAATGACGATGACAAGGGGATTTTTTTCTGTCACAGGATTATTGACCAAAATTCATGTAATGTGATGAAAACTGTTTTGTCAAGAGAGGGTTTTTCAGTGATAGGAGGCATTTTGCTGGAAATTATCTAGCCAAGCTGCATGTAACAAAAATTACAGGAATTGTAAATGTTACCTGAGAAATACTAGAGTGCTTTACCCTAGGTAAAAGGAAAATAGTTTGTTTTTTCTCTCTAATGCCTAGCTGATTAAACATAGCCTTGAACTCTATAGGTGAAGTAAGAAATTAATTCATTCAAAACCTTTGTTTGGAAACAAAAAATTGCAAACCTTTATGTAAAAAGTGGCTCTAGTGAGCTCAAACATGATGCATTACTATTTCAGAAATCCAAATTTCTGAATTTCAGATACATCTAAAAACTGAAGGTGGCTCTAGAAGCAAACTATGCTTTGCTGATCTGGGAGCTGTTACCACAAACTAAAAAAAGGTGGAAAACGTAGTGAGTCTCCTGTCAGATGGATAATCTGTCTGTATATTGTAAGTGCTGTTCATGGGAGCCAAAGTATTTAATGTTCTTCAACTTCTCTTGTTTACCATTGGCAGGCGGATTCCACTAGAGGAAGTCCCAGAAGATGAGCACGAATGTTCTAACTGGCTCCACAAACTATATCAAGAAAAGGTTGGTTTTTTGTCAAGACAGCATTTGTGAGCCACTAGTGCTCAGTTATTTATAATTCTAGTAGACCTTTACAGTGTGCATGTGTAGTGGTCCTGCTTTGGGGGCTTGGGGTTGGTTGGTTGGTTTGTTTTTCAGGATAAGTGCTCTGTTTTTCTGGACACAAATTGGTCTTGTGTTGTCAGTCATGATTGCCTTTATTTTGTTCTTAAAGAGCTGCAGGAAGAAAACTTAAGCAAGCCTTGATACAGTAGTTTTAAAACTCTTCTTTAGAAAGTTGCATAAGGATACAAAAAACACAACTACTTCCTGGTTGGTAGAAGGACCTCCTTCCCCTTAAAGGCACCTCCTAAATCAAGAAGTAGTTTGTGGGCTAAATGAGGTATATTTTGCTTTAGTGTATTAAAATTTCTTTGCTCACAAGCTAGCAGTGCTCATTGACAGAGCTTTAAACTAGACTTGAAGGGGGAGGGGGATAATATCAGGCTTGCCCGTCACAAGCTGTGGGATGACACACCAAGACTAGAGGGGATGGGGTGCTAGTGAGGGCCCTCAGCCTGTTGCTCTGAGACATGCTCGCTACACTGCAGCACACTTGAAGTCTTACGCAGATGAGCCAGGGACTCCTGAGGTAATAGGAGACAACAGGGAAACACCAGTGAAGTACTTCAAAGGAATTAAGGTGTGTACCTCTAAAAAGGTGACGTGGCAACAGCCCAGCTGAAGTGCCTCTATGCCAATGTGCACAGCATGGGCAACAAACAGGAGGAGCTGGAAACCACTGTCCTGCTAGAAAGCTACGACCTAGTTGCTGTTACTGAAACTTGGTGGGATGAATCCCATGACTGGAGTGCAGCTATTGGTGACTAAAGGCTGTTCAGAAGGGACAGGCAAGGAAGGAGGGGCAGAGGCATTGCCCGCTACATCAAGAAACAGACAGAGTGTGAAGAGCTGTCTCTGAAGAATAGCTACGAGCAGGTTGAAAGCTTATGGGTGAGAATCAGAGACCAAGGCAACAAAGGGAACCTTGTGGTTGGTGTCTGCTACAGGCCGCCCGATCAAGGGGAGCCTATTGACAAAACCTTCTTACTCCAGCTACCGGAGGCATCACGCTTGCAGGCTCTCGTCCTGCTGTGGGACTTCAACCACTCTGACATCTGCTGGGAAAGTAGCATGGTGAGCTGTAGGCAATCCAGGAGACTCCTGGAATGGATTGAGGATAACTTCCTAAGCCAGGTAATAGACAGCCCTACTAGAGGGGATGCGATACTGGACCTGTTGGTCACCAACGCAAGTGAGCTAATCGGTGACGTCAAGATTGGAGGCAGCCTGGGCTGCAGTAGTCATACACTGGAGTGGAGTTTGCAGTCCTGAGGGATATGGTTCAGGCGAAGAGTAAAGTCAGGACCCTGAATTTTAGGAAAACAAACTTCCAGCTCTTCAAGGAGTTAGTCAATAGGACCCCTGGGAAACTGCCCCCAGGGACAAGGGAGCAGAACAGAGCTGGCAAATCTTTAAGGACACTTTCCATAGAGGGGAAGAGCTCTCAATACCCAGGTGTAAGAAGGCAGGAAAGGAAGGCAAGAGACCAGCATGGATGAGTCAAGACCTGCTGGTCAAACTAAAGGGCAGGAAGGAAATGCACAGGCAGTGGAAGCAGGAACAGGTATCCTGGGAAGAGCATAGGGATGCTGCCCAGTTGTGTAGGGATGGGATCAGGAAGGCTAAGGCACAGCTGGAGCTGAACTTGGCAAAAGATGCAAGGAATAATAAGAAGGGCTTCTACAGGTATGTCAGCCAGAAAAGGAAGGTCAAAGAAAGCGTACCCTCCCTGATGAGCAAGACTGGCATACTGGTAACAGCAGATGAGGAGAAGGCTGAGGTACTCAACAACTTTTTTGCCTCAGTCTTCACTGGCAAGCTCTCATCCCACACCTCTCGAGTGGATGGACTGCAAGACAGAGACTGGGGGAGCAAAGTCCCTCGCACTGTAAGAGAAGATCAGGTTTATGACCACCTGAGGAACCTGAACATGGGTTCCTGACAAGATGCGTCCCAGAGTCCTGAGGGAATTGGCTGACGTAGTTGCCAAGCCACTCTCCATGATATTTGAAAAGTCCTGTCAGTCAGGTGAAGTCCCTGGTGACTGGAAAAAGGGAAACATTGCACCCATTTTTAAAAAGGGTAGAAAGGAGGACCCTGGGAACTACCGACCTGTCAGCCTCACCTCTGTGCCTGGGAAGATCATGGAACAGATCCTCCTAGAATCTATGCTAAGGCACATAGAGGACAGGGAGGTGATTCGAGACAGCCAGCATGGCTTCACCAATGGCAAGTCCTGCCTGACCAATCTAGTGGCCTTCTATGATGGAGTGATTACATCAGTGGACAAGGGAAGAGCTATGGATGTCATCTACCTGGACTTCTGTAAGGCCTTTGACACGGTCCCCCACAACATGCTTCTCTCTAAACTGGAGAGAGATGGATTTGATGGGTGGACTGTTTGGTGGATGAGGAATTGGTTGGATGGTCACATTCAGAGGAGAGGGTAGTGGTCAACAGCTCAATGTCCTGATGGAGACTGGTGACAAGTGGTGTCCCTCAGGGATCCGTATTGGGACCAGTACTATTTAATATCTTCATTAATGATGTAGACAGTGGGATTGAGTGCACCCTCAGCAAGTTTGCAGATGACTCCAAGCTGAGTGGTGCGATTGACACACCTGAGGGACGGGGTGCCATCCAGAGGGACCTGGACAAGCTCGAGAATTGGGCCCATGTGAATCTCATGAGGTTCAACAAGCCAAATGCAAGGTCCTGCACATGGGTCAGGCCAGTCCCAAGCACAAATATAGGCTGGGCAGAGAATGGATAGAGAGCAACCCTGAGGAGAAGGACTTGGAGGTGTTGGTTGATGAGAAGCTCAACATGGCACAGCAATGTGCGCTGGCACACCAGAAGGCCAACCATATCCTGGGCTGCATCAAAAGAAGCGTGACCAGCAGGTCGAGGGAGGCAATTCTGCCCCTCTACTCATGCGACCCCACCCGGAGTACTGCGTCCAGCTCTGGAGCCCCCCACACAGGAAAGACATGGACCTGTTGGAGTGGGTCCAGAGGAGGGCCACGAAGATGATCAGGGGGCTGGAGCACCTCTCCTATGAGGACAGGCTGAGACAGCTGGGGTTGTTCAGCCTGGAGAAGAGAAGGCTCCCGGGAGACCTTATTGCAGCCTTCCAGTACCTGAAGGGGGCTTATAAGAAAGACAGGGACAAACTTTTCAGCAGGGCCTGTTGCAATAGGACAAGGGGTAATGGTTTTAAACTAAAAGAGGGTAGATTTAGACTAGATATAAGGAATACATTTTTTACAATGAGTGTGGTGAAACATCGGAACAAGTTGCCCAGAGAGGTTGTAGATGCCCCATCCCTGGAAACATTCAAGGTCAGGTTGGACGGGGCTCTGAGCAACCTGATCTAGGTGAAGATGTCCCTGCTCATTGCAGGGGCGTTGGACTAGATGATTTTTAAAGGTCCTTTCTAACCCAAACTATTCTGTGATTCTAAAATTTTTGTCCCTTGTTTTACTCTGTCTTTTTACCAAGGCAAAGATCCAAAAATAATAGGACAGGCTGATAAATTGCTTTCACATTGCATGCATAGAAGGCATGCATTTAAGATTCCTAATTACATAGGATGGGGGCAGAATAATAATGACTGTGTGTTTGTAGATGATTTTTTTTTTCCCCCAAATACTTTCATATGCATCCTTCAGACTTTCAGAATCTGTTTCTTGTGGGTTTTGTTTTTATGAACATAGGAGATAATGGTTGGGGGATGTGCCCTTTGAATACACACAGCACTCCCATTTCAATCAGTGGGAGTCATAGGTATGCAAGGCATGAGGGCCTGGCAGCTCAGTTTGCTTCAATAAATTGATCTACGTTATGTATTCAGACTGGAATACAGCAGTGCTTGGGATTTAGAAGTGATAGAATATAGCTACGCTCTGGTTTCCTCTCACTGGGGCAGCAAAATTCTGCTGTGCCATTTGTTGTACCCCACCCAGGACACCATGCTGGCATTTCTTTATTGACGATGGTCTAGTGTTTCTCAGCTTCAAACCATGACTACTATGACCATTTCTGGTTTAATTCGTAACCCCTCTAAGCAGCTTGCTTACAGGAATGTGGAAAGTAAATGTGTGTTGAGACCTCAGTTGTAGATCTACTAGCTTTGCCTCTGATCTCCCTTCTTGTAAATTGTGCCCTAATACCTAATTCAGATGTGACCCTTAACACCTTTCTGTGGAAAGGCATTATGTTACCCGTGGGCCTGTGCTCTCTCTACAGGCATATAAATGCAAATGGTCCTTTTGGTGAACATTGCAAAAGTCCACTTTCTGCTACTGTGACTTTATCTGTAACCTTGTTTCATGTTCCTAAGAAATGTTGAGACATTTGCAAGACAAGAACATAAATCAAATGAGAATGTGGTGATTGTTTTCCTGAATCCTTTATTACATACTTTGCAGTAAATCAAGTTTTTTCTGTTATTCCCTCTTTGGCAAGCACTCAGTTATTTCTAGTGCAAACAGAGCGTACATCTTCATAACAGCTTTGGTGGCTGGTTAAATCCATAGTTTCCTATTTAAGTATAGGAGGAAGGAATGCGTGTTCAGTTTTCCTTTCCATTAAAACCTTTTTGGTTGTGTGGCATTTTTTTAATTGGTTGGGTTGTTTTAGGTTTGGTAGTAGTTTTGGGTTTTTTTCTGAAGGTGGCATGTTCCTCTTCCTTCAGCTGTTTCATATTAGTAAAACTGTTATTTCATTGCAGTCATTCCTGGTTTACACAAGCCCATGTCTCTGTAAAATCAGACTGGGAGAATACAGAGCAGGGACAACTTCTTCAAGAGTTCTGAGATGATGAAAGCCCACCTGCAGAGTAAAAATGCAATTCTGTTTCACCTTTCTGCCATGCATCTTTAAAAAGATAATTGGATCTTAGGTTGGATAACAAGCAGCATTGCCACCAAGGTGTTGTTTCCAAAAATGAATTCTGTTCCAGGTTAATGTCTTCAGAGTCAGTAAATATTTATGATAAAATGTAACAAAACTGTATTAAAAGGGCAGTAATTCTTTGCAAGATATCCACTCATCCCCTGCTGTGTCTATTTTGGTTATAGCACTCCACTTTCTGTTTCAAAGTAAGACCAGGTATGCACGCTACTGAAAAACAGAGCTCCTATTTTATCTTGCATTATGGTTGCATATGCCGTTGCTTCTTCTCAGTGATTTTCATAATTTTGCAGTACCTTCTCAAGACTTACATGCAGTGCGGTGAATTTATGCTCTAATAGCACGATTTAGTAGGTGGGGCATGCCACAGGTACTGAGGTCAAGGCTGGAGTGCAGTGCGCTTGTGATGATCAGGGACACAAAGCTGTTTGAATGAGTGATGAAATCAGTGTTGACATGAAGGAACGTGACTTTTTTTTTGTCATTAGTAAAGGAGTGAGAGTCTGAGAAAAGCTTGTTGTGTTGTTTTTACCTCATTGCCTGATCTCAGTTACATGTACCTCAGTCTGAAGTACTGCTCTCTGGGAATCTGGTGTGTTTATGTTCTTGCTGCTTACCACTTCATTTTCTGGTTTAGCCACTGCTGCAAATGCAATGAAGAGGGCCTTGCCAGGTGAACAGTGGCACCGTGCTGTTCTAAACCAAACACTGTTCTCCTTCCTTTTCCAGGCTTACAGTAAGCACCATGTCCACATGCTTCTCTCTCACGTGGGGTGAATTTTGTCCTTCCACAGATGACCAGCACTGCCAAATTATGACAGAGGTGCAATTTGGGTTGCACGTTGCCCTTTCCCTTTCCTTTCCCTGCTATTGCTAGAAGGACTCCCTTTGACTATAACAAGGATCAGGTTGAGCATCTTAGTGCCTGGTCTGAAGAGGTACTGTATAATAGTCACAACTCTGCTAGTCCTTGCATGCTTGTTTTCTTTTTTTACCTCCTTACAGCCTCAGCGCCTGAAATGGAAGATCTGCTTGAGAATCTTAATTTCCATTAAAAAGAAAGCGAGCTTCTAACTCTTCTCACTTGTAAGAGAAGCATGGAAAACAGGGCATGAAAATATATGCTGAAATGCCCCAGGGAATTAGCAAAGCATAACTGAAGAGGGGAAGTGTACAGAACTGCAGTGTTTGGGAACAAAGGGTATATTTTTGGATACTCATTCTTTGTGGGCTTCCTCATGAAAGGGCAGTGGCGTACTTCTGCAGTCAGACCTCCCTGGTGGGAGCAGGGAGGAAGGATCCAGTTAGCCTCTCACAAGATGGTGGATGTTTCCTGATTTCCTCCCACTGCATTGCCGAGCCCACTGTCTGAAGTAACTCAGATTTGGTGGGTGCATTAGAGGGAGCATGTTTCTATGTCTGAATATGATATTTGGGTGGGTGGGATTTATTACAAACTGAAAACCAGCTCTATATGCAGGGGAATGAAAGGAACTTAATGTGGACGAGGTGATTGAGGGAAATTTTGAGGTACATCATGGGTTTAAATGCTGACTTGAGCTGTTGATGGGTACCATAGGCACCTTGCAAAAGCTTAGAAGACAGATCAACCCACAGATCTCTTCTGCAAGGAATGTGAATGTTTTTAAGGGTAAGGAATGGTAACTGAATTGCAGAGCTGTTCCCCACAACGGTGTAAAACGTGTAGTGCAGGTGATGGCATTGACCTTGTTTTGCCTGTTGTATGTTTCTTCCGTCTGCCTCAGACCTCTTGGTGAGATGTGATCAACGGTTTTGCTGCCCCTAGTGCTGTGCAGAGCCAACAAAAACTGCTGTGCTTGTTTTAAGTCTGTCTTGCTGTCTGTAGTGATAAGCCCCCTAATGGCGATACCAATAAGAGAAATTCTTACATTTTCTGGGTGATACTGGTGTTTAGAAACCTAATTGTATATAGCAGAATTCAATTTACTGATGATTAGTAGCTCCGTGTTAAACCAGTCATAAACCAAAATCCTCAAGGCACTGTAAAGAAAACTTCATACACTGTGTAATTTGTTGAAGACAGCTAATTAATTGGCCATTGTGATCCCAGTACAATCTAGCTCACATGCGTAAAGCAGCCATAATTTTTCTAGTCTCAATAAAGACAGTGCAATGCTTTAATTACTGTGTAATCTCTTAAAAGCTAAATGTTCCCTTTGAAATAGATAAAATGGTAGCAGCCTGTAATTGCTCAAGTTGCCATTAAATAATTAAAGAATTGTCTGTGTCAGCTGGAGTGTAAGTAAATGTAAAATCATACCGTAGTAGAAATAATCTTCTTGTGGTTGATTAGGACAATCTTGGCTTTGCCAGAATTTTTGGAAACTGTCATGAAGCATTCCTTTCTTTGCAGAAATTTAGCACTTCATTCTGACTAAATTGAGGTTCCTTTTTATGTGAGTCTGATTCTGACTTCATTAATTAACTGGTTCTATGTGATAACACAGATTAATAATCTTTGCTTTTGAACCAGAAGGAAGGGGGTTTCTCCCCACCCACTTCAATATCTTGGGTTGATCACATTGCTAAAGGCAATGCCCTTCACCCATAAGGGCTCTAGAGGAAGGTACTGAATTCTGAGTTTTCTGTGCTTTAAAAACACACACCACGAAACAAAAAAATCCAAACCCCACCCCATTATCTTCCTCATATTATACTAAAAGGGAGAGTCCTTTGGTCAGAACCAGTGAGAGATTCTAAACTGTTTGTATGCTCAACTGTAGAGAGGTTCAGCACCCAAACTGCCTTCTGTGTGCTTCACGGGGACAAGATGAACAAGGCTTCATCTGTGGGACAAAGCAGACAGGAGGGAGTGGTGTTCTTTGGAGTGTGGGACAAGATGGTGTCTGCTCACCTTTCTGACAGGGCTGTGGATGCTGTTTTAGAGCAGTGGTTGGAGAAAACATGAGGGAACAGAGGATCCACTGCTGAGCATGTAGCCCAAACACTTCCCTGGCTTACCAGCAGTATTTGTCCAGTAGCTGTGGCCCTTGCAGGAGGTTCAACAGTGATGTCCACATTGCTGCAGGCATGTACATCCCCTCACCCTTCTTGTTTTACTGGGCTTGTTATACTCTCCAGGGATGCCATTTTTCAGGCTTCTATGTGTAGGTGAAAGAAAGGATGCACACATCAATGTAAGCTCTTTTTTTTTTTTTTTTTTTTGACTATGTGTTCATGGACTTCAAAGTAAAAGCTTTCCAGCCATGACTTGGTCTTTGATCTTCCCCCGTGGTTACAGGCGTGCAGAAAGAGGAACGTCGAAGTCAGGAATGGCTAGTTTTGTTGGCAGATGGGGATTTAATTGTTGCCCTCATTTGTTCTACTAGGATGCATTCCAGGAAGAGTACTACCGAACAGGAACCTACCCAGCAGTCCCTATAGTACCACCCCGACGACCATGGACGCTTTTGAACTGGCTTTTCTGGGCCTTATTGCTGCTATATCCTTTATTCAAGCTGCTCATCAACATGATCAACAGTGGATCATCACTGACACTGGCTAGTTTTGCATTTGTCATTGTAATGGGTAAGTATTCTAAAACAGAAAGATTACTTACAGGGTAACTGTCAGATGTGATTTATTGAGGCTTACTAAATATAGACATGACTTGTGAATTCAACAGACCATCTGATACTATATCCATTTTAGCCTGGAATACGTTAAATAGATTCTTTTTTTTTTTTGCTTCATTTTTGTATAGTTGTATTATTTTTTGTAAGAGCTGCATACAAAATCTTCTGTTTCTGTAGAAATCAAAACAGTAACTTTCTAGTGGGTTGCCTACAAGAGGCTTTCTTTTCTTGTGCAGTGTGTTGCTGGGTTGCACTTTGAATGCCTAGAAGAGGAGCTCAAGGCTAATTTATTCTGTTGAGAATTCTTTTATCTAATCATAGTCTGATACGTCATCTGCCAGAAATCTATGAACTTGTGATTGAAGAACAGCCTGTTGCGGCCATCTACTCTGACTTATGTAGCACAGGGCATAGACTATTACAGGTGATTTCCTACAGTTCCTGTGGTAGTTCTGAACTGCCTTTGTGTTTAAACTTGTATGTTATTTAAGAGGAGGAAGGAAAACAAAACAAGGAGCTGGCCCACAGAAAGGGAGGGAGATCTCATTTGGTGTCCTTCATGGAAGCAGGAACCAGGTCAGTTTAGCAAATAACATTGTATCTGTGTGTCTGCACGTTATGGCATGTTGAGTGCCTGTTTGAAGAATAAGTTCCCTTCTAGAATAAGCCATACATTTATAAAGCAAATATTTTCGATGGCCGCACTGACGATCACATGTATTTATGGCTTCATCACCTTAACACCTGTGTATATTACAAACATCCTTTGAAAAAGAAACAGAACTTCACAGTCCTTCTGGCTTTCAGTGAGCTTGAACGCAGAGATATTAGAGTTGGGTTAAAAAGCCATGTCCAAAATAGCAACACAGAGGAAACAGGAAAACACAGAGCATTTTCTTGTCTCAGAAGTGCATCTTTGCTCTCTACCTAGGAAATTGTTCCTAACACATAATATTTCTTTTCATTCTCAAAACATCTGAATCTTGAGCAGGTCCCACGCTAGTCTGATCAAGATGAATTAACCAATCTCCTTTTGCCCATCTGTGAAGAGCTTGATATGGTAGGCGCACAATATTCTTTTTCAGAAAGTGCCCACTAAGTCAAACTCCACGTAAGCTCCTGTGGAAGCTTCTGAGGAAGATAACTGGAGAAGGAAGGATTTGTGTGTATGTGTGCGTTTGTGTGTGTGCACACACACGCAGGATATTTGCTTTGTGATGCTTTGGGCCAGAGGAAGGAAAACGAGCAAGGATAAGGTCCAGCCATAATAGTTGGTACGTTAATGTGGGCAAGGCAGAGGGAAAGGGAGGGGAATCCTGTGCTCTTGTCCTCACCTGGAGAAATTGGTGGTGCTTTTTACCCTGGGAATGTTTTATGTAAAATGCGTAAGAATTTCTTGGAGCAGTGACTACAATTTAGAAGCATCTTTTTTTCACCCACCCTACTTGTTGAAAGGCAGAAGTAGTGCTCCCTCTCCTCCTCTCCTCTCCCCTCCCCCTTCCCCCCGACCAGTGAATAGGAGGGGAGCAGAGTGTGCACCATGGTTTGGGTGTGCTCCTCAGGAATGGGAGGAGGTGGGTTCAAAATCCCCTTCAGTTACAGAGAAAGGTCAGTCGGTCTCTCCTGTGCTCTAGTTCAAAATGGGTATAGAGCAGTGGGCGGGATGAGGTATGACACCATTGCAAATACTACGTCTCTGGCAGTAGCACTCAAGAGGGCATTTGTTCTGCCTTTGGAAGAAAGGCTGGCATGGTCTATGTTTTGTACTGGGCTGTGGAACCATGGCCTAATGGGGCACTGAAGCTTACCCTTTGCAAAATTTTTAAATTTCTCATCTTTCCTTCAGCATTTTCCTCTTAATTCAGCTTCTCCACTCAGTGGGCTGGTTGTTCAGATGCCATTCCAAAGTGCCTCATGCCTTAGGTACCCTCCACAGGGAACCTCACTGCATAATTCAGGGTTCTGGATTTTAACCTCAGGGCTGGATGCTTTAATGCTTGGCATTGTGGCATCTGTGATGTTTCTGGATTTAGCCCTTATTAATTTAGTTGCATGACACTACACTCCCCACTGTAAGTGCAATACCATCTTGCCATTAGCGGCCTTTACAACTAGGTCACGTCGTCTCTCTGTCAGGAAGGGAGGGAAGGAACCTGTAAAGGAAAAAAAAAAGCTATGGTGATACTAAGAATGGACAGCAGAGAGTCCTTTTTTCTTTTTTTTTTCTTGCTGTCTTACTCCCCACTTAGCTTTCTTCTGCCTCTAGCCACAAGGAAAGATTAATAAGCAGGCTGCTGTGAGTCCTCTTTTGAATGCAGTGATAATCCAAAGGTTCTCACGTTATTTGTAATGCTGGAGCTAACAGAATGCTACAGCAGCAGTCTGCTGCCAGAATGAACGCATGAGCTCCCAGGCTGCGAAAGCACAGCTGAGGAATGCATTAAGAGTGGTGAGATTAACGGCCCGCTGCCCCATACATATCCACCACCTTTGTGGGATGCTGCAGGTTGCAGTCCTCTGCAACCTTTGAAAGACCTCTGTGCTTAGCAACAGCTCTGTTCTCACTCTGAATACCTGGTGTGATCAAACCCAAAGGGCTTGTAATTGCCCAGGATTTGCGGCACAGCAGAAGACGCTGCATTGCCTGTAGTAGTGGCTGTCGCCTGATTAGACTCAGCCAGCCACCTCTGGCTGATGAGCAGACAAAAAGAAAGATGATGTTGTCACTTATAAGCAGATAGCAGCCTCCGTGAAGCTGTGGAGGGAAGAGAATCTGTGGGAGTGGAAGGAAGCTCAGCCTTCAGTAAAACAAACAAAAAGCAGAGCTGGTTTATCCTGGTCACTTAAAAGTGGATATGTCATTACTCGCCAAAAGAGCAATGGTTCTCTTAGTATGTTACAGTCTGTTTCTGTTTCACTATATCCCTTTAAAAGCAATGTTATTGCTAGTTGGGAATCATTTGTCTCTTTCTGTGGAAGCATCTAAAAACTTCAGCCCAAGCTGTCACATTGACTTTTGTAGCCAAAAGCTGTTTCTGTAGCAAGGCCGTTCTCCCCAAACTGTGTTTTATATCCTGAGGGGTATCTCTATCATGAATGTCCTGGGAGTGATGCAGCCATCTTCTGACAGAGGAACAACCAGTATTTTATTTTGCAGTTCAGCTTTAGGCAAGGTCTCAGAAGTAACTTCTGCAATGGCTGGGAGGTAGCAGTAGATGAACACAAATGTACCTTGGAGGCTGTGACTTTTGGTGCCAGTTGGAACTGTCTGCCTGGCAGATCCAGTTCGTAGCAAAGCAGAGAGGACTGTATTTGCTGTCTTTTCCAGTGAGCAGTGATTGGTACCTGCTGGCTTAACAATGTGAGCAGAAGCTTTTTCTGTAAACCAGAGGGATTTATTTACCATTGTGATCAGGTAATAAAATCGCCTTTTCACATTGCTCCTAGTAGACCTCCTCCCTCTGTTTGTTAACTGAGGCAGCATAGGTAGCTTTGGGACGTTATTTTTTTATATGGCAATTTGACAGCTCACCTGATACTCCAGGATTGGGAAGCTTATCCCATTATAAGTAGATTGCTGTTTCTAAGGGCAGATTTCGGTACCTGATAACATTACCTTTATTAGCATAGGTGCAGATAGCACAAGATACTCCTCAACCTTCTATGACAGGAAAGAGCAGAGGAACTAGGAGGTCCTTTTACCTGGTGCCCTCTGCTTTGTTTTCAGAGTGTCATTTGTCTTTTAGACAGTCTCTGCTAATTGTGCTCTCCAGTAAAACACTTAGTGGCTTGTAAGTAACTGGCTGTTCAGATGGAAAGAACTGTAAGAGAAATGCCCCATGGCGGTCAAGCTGGAGTGAAAGCACTGTAATCCCTCAGACCCTAACTCTCAGATCCAAGGAATGAATAACCAATGTATATATAGCTCTGCTGGTTCAGCTTGAACACTTTCAGCCCTAAATAAACGCTGTCTCCTCTTTATACTGAGGATGCTGAGCCATCCCCTTTTGCTTTGTTGTGCAGCAGTTTGGCTATTTATACTCATAATAATCATTGCATTGTGCTAATATCTAACTACCGGTCTGGGACCAGGAGCCCTTTGTGATGCTACTTGAACCAACACAAGGCAGTCCCTGCTCCAGAGGATAAATGCTCAAGCAGTTTGAGGGACAAAAGTCTCTTTTGAAAACTGGCTTTAGTTTCATAGGACACATGGCAAGAGATTTATGTACTTAACTCACAACTGCTATTTGAAACTGGGGGCTGATATTTTGGTGTTAAAGCTGTGCGCAAGTCTGTCAAATGTCAGTATTTGTATTTGACAGCAGCTTCTTTTTTTTTTTCCTCCTACTTCCCCAATCTCATTTGGCTGCAAAGAACCCAGCATTAGGTTGCCTTTCATGTTTTGGTAACTTGTGTTGAAGAGGACAACCTTCATGCTCTAGAAGTACGTTATTATAGAGCTGTCAACAGCAGTTAAAAGCGGATTGTTAGTTCCGTATGCAAAAGATGAGAGCGCTTCTCTTGGCTTTTAAATGAAGAAGTAGCTCTTCCATGTCTAATGCTAAAAGCATAATGGCATCTGGGCTTATGGCGTGGGGCCAACGGTTCAGTTTCAGTTACAGATGAGAGCAGTATTTCATTTGAACCAAGCGTAAGTAGTGATGAGCCAGCTTTGATTCTGCAGGAGCTGTTGTATGTCTGCTCAACAGTACGTGCACAGTGCTATTAGAAAATGTGTTTCCATGGATCGCAGCACAAACCATGAGTGTGAGTCCTTGGTGACTTGACAGTGTCCAGGTGCAGAGGGTGGACCAAAGGGTTGGAGCATGATGCGATCTGGGCAGCAAGGCTGTTGATGCCCGTAGGCTGCGAGGAGTGGAAGGTGAGGGGCGCGCGAGCCAGCAGCGTTGCAGCAAGTTCTGCAACAGGATATAAACCCTGCGCAGGATCCTGCCTGGGTTGATTCTGCCTGTTGGTGGAGCTGCCAGACAATCTGGCCTTTCAGCCTGGCGCCCCAAACTGGTATTTTTTTTGTTACTTGCTTGTTTCTTCTCCTTTATAGTATGTAAGATAGGCCCTCAATGGCAATTTCTACCATTTGTATAAGCTTTAGTTGTACAAATCTTCATTTCAATGTATAACCTATATAACTCAGGTGTACAGCAGACTACGTATGGGAAATTTTTATGCCCCTACTTGCTGTGCTGCTTATAGCACTTGCTGTGTGGTACAAAGCCCAGGTAACAGATGAGAAGAAATCCTGAGGTGTGAGAGAAAAGTTGGAAATCCTCTGCTCTGAGCTAAGGTTTTGCTGAGGGATGTGGTACTATGTGTGGAGGTGGTGGTTTTCTTGGAGCTAAAAATGTTCCGGGAAAGGGAGCACATTTTTGGCTCTGCCAATTTGTGTTAGCTCAGCCCTCCCTCAGCTCCCAGCACTCTGGTAGGCAGAGCAGATCCTCAGCAACCTCCTGCATATTTTGGCTGGTGGGTAATGATGGGCAGAAAGATGGCAGGTGCTCAGTTACCTTCTGTAGTTTGTCGTGGAGCAGTGCAGGGATGCCTCAACTGATAGCTTCTCTCTCCTGCTTTTCTAAGGGTGGGCTTAAACTCTCACAGCTGATTAAGTTAGGCACAATTCCTGCTTGATCTCCCTTTCTCCCCATTCCTTGTAGTTTTAAGTTTAAGTTTAAGTTCCCCTTACTATAGTTGTATTTAAATCAACAGCAGAATAAATCCTTAAACATGATGGTATCACTAGGGTATGCCCTGAGGCTCCAGGAGAGTTGTGGAGAGGATGCAGGCAGTGCAGGGAGAAACCACTGAGGCACCTCAGCACTTATCCCCACTTTGCTTCCACAGGCTTGGCAAACATGAGCAGCCCCTTCTCCTTGCAGCCCACCTTCCCCAGGGTGCTGAGGGTGGCAGGGTGAAATGAGGACAGAAAGACAGTGGCAGGGGCTGCCAGGGGGGAAAGGAGAAGGGAACCGCTGAACTAGGTATTTTTTGGTGTCCAGGCAGTGGCATTCTTGGAACTGGATGAAATGCCCAGTGTGCTGTGTGGTTGCTATAACAGCTGCTCTTATTTATGCTCTGTGTCCATCTCCAGATGCTGTTTCTATCCCTTCTGGTTAAAATCTTAATGATTTCATGCTTACTATCATGTTATGATCCCAGACTGCAGGCTACATGTTGGATCTTCCTCTTGTCTTCCCTAGCTTGTGGCCACTTCAATGTCAAAAGTGTTCTTTTCTGTTCTATTTGTGAGAGCGAAACCCTTCACTTGTCCCGGTTGTGTGCATTTCCATTCACAGACTAACAGTGGAGCGTAAGTGACAGTGAGCTCCCTAGGATCCACTTGCCTTTCTGGGCTGTTCCCTGCGCAGCTCTCCGCCTGTGAGAGGGCCCTGCTTTCCTGGTGTCTCGCATCCAGGTGACCCGAGGGCAGCCCCACGGGCAGCCCAGCTTCCCCATTGCACCACTGTCTGTTCAGCCATCGCTGTCTCACATCATGTGTGACTCATCTCTGGTATCCAATTACCACTTGCACTTCTGAAAACTGTCACTTAATTTACTGTCATACTACAAAACACGAGTCTGTAGGTGATTGGTTTGTTTTCAAGTGCTGGTATTTTGAAAGGAGAAAATACACAGTGCCTTTCATCCAAGCAAATCAGACAGAAGACAATAGCTGAGGTGGGAAGGCCCCTCTGGAGATCATCTAGTCCAAACCCCCAGCTCAGAGCAGGGTCAGCTACAGCAGATTGCTCAGGGCTGTGTCCTATTGGGTTTTGAATATCTCCAAGGAGGGAGACTCCACAACCTCCCTGGGCAGCCTGTGCTGGTGTTCAACCACCTGCACAGTAAAGATTTTCTTCCTTTTTTTTCTTCTGCTCAGAGGGAACCTCCAAAGTTTCAGCTTGTACCCATTGCCTTCTGTCCTGTCACTGGGCACCACCGAGAAGAGCCTGGCTCCATCTGCTTTACACCCTCCCTTCAGATATTTATGCACATTGATAAGATCGCACCGAGCTTCTCTTCTCCAGGCTATGAACGCTCCCAGCTCTCTCAGCCTCTCCTCATATGAAAGATGCTCCCTCCGCTCCCTTAATCATCTTTGTGGCCTTCACTGGCCTCGCTCTAGTATGCCCGTGTCTCTCTTGTCTCGGGGAGCCCAGACTGGACCCAGCACTCCAGATGTGCCCCCACCAGTGCTGAGCACGGTGGGAAGGACCATCTCCCTCAACCTGCTGGAAATGCTCTTCCTAATGCAGCCCTGGGCAGCGTTGTACTCCTTTCCCACAAGAGCACACTGTTGGCATCTACCAGGAAGCCTAGGTCCTCCTCTGCAGAGCTGCTTTCTAGCCTATCATCTCTCTTCTTACTTAAATAATACATTTAGCTTTTTCAAGTTGCCCTGATTAGTTATAACATTTGGTCAATAATCTGTGCTCCACTTCAGAACAGGTTGCTTGAAGCACAAGAGAGAAGTAGCTATTAAAAAAAGTGATGGTTTTGCATGGTTGATGTGGTAGCACCAGGTTACAGCTGGACAAGCAACTGGTACAGCACAGGGCAGCACTGGTTACCAGCTGACAGCCCTCTCCCATTCCTGTGCTGACGGGCAGCGAACGCCAGGTCACAGGGTGTTGTAGCAGCCCTGCTGTTGGCAGTCGATGCCTGGTAGAGGCGTGAAGCCTCTGGAGTCTCTGGGTGATCTCAGGCTCTGACTTCACCATGAAGAGTCCTTCGGCTGGTGAGGAATGGTTCAGGGTCATCTTAGAGAGGTAAAGAAAGACCGATGGGAATGAGACATTTAGAGCACCTAACAGGACTGAGCCTTTTCACCATCAGTTAGGAAGAAACTGGGATTTGGAAGCTTAGGGGAGGTTTGTGGCTTTCTTGGGTGTTTTTTGGAAAAAGCGTTCTGTGCAGAGGGAAGGTATGTGTGACTCCCAAGTAGGTTTAGGTCTGAAAGATGCATGGCAGTTCTGGAGATGTACAGTAGCTGAGGAGAAGTTTGGGGAATAATAGATTTTGGGCAGCTAAGCCCCTTTACCAAAAAAAAAAACCAACCCAACCTGTGAGGGGAGGGCTTAGGCTAAGTTGTGTTTAACTTAAACAGTCATTTCAGGAACTACAAATAAACTATTAAAAAAAAATCCCTGTGCGTGGTGAATTATTCCCCCTAAATCAACTATAAAAGTATTTTAAAGTAATCTGGCCTCTTGTAATGGCCTGTTTCATGAGCTGTAGTTAAAAAATGCCACAACTTACTTTTTTTTTAATCGAGATCTGAAGTGCCCTTGCACGTGCTTGTGCTCTTCCAGGCACGGAGGCTGTTGAAAGCAGGCAGAATTCCCTTCCCCTGTCACACCTTGTGAGCGGACATGAGTGTATTTTGTCATTCAACTCCTGGGAGCCAGGTAACACCAGGAGGCCCCAGCGCACCCCATTTCACAGCCAGCCCTGTCTAAGGTTTAACAGGGCTGGGCACATCATGCCTGTGCCTCTTACTCTTGTGTTGGTTCCCGTAGCATTGTCCCTGCTGGCAGGAGAGGATGTGCCTGAGGCCAGCAACCTAGGATCTTCCTTAAGGAAATACTGTGGGCAACTTCCTTGATACAGGGGCGCGGGGGCGTACCTCTCATCAGAGGTCAAGTACAGGGAGTACGGGTAGTTACCTTTAATGCTGTGCTGCTGTAAGGCTGAGAACACTGTTAGTCTCTTTCGAAATGCTGTGCGGATGTACACCTGTACAAATCTTCGGTCTTTTTGTCTGCAAGCAGCTTTTAACTTCATTTTTATTTATTTTGCAGCTTCTGTTGGTGTCAGATGGATGATAGGCGTTACAGAAATTAACAAGGGCTCCACCTATGGCAACAACGACAACAAGCAGAAACAAAAGTAGTGTCTTCAGAGACTGCTTCAATCCAAAGGGAACAAATGCAACTTCTGAAAACTCTTAAGTGCATATCATGGTCCTTCAAGTGAGATCAGAGGAAGGGTAGGATGAGCAATCGCCATTCGTATCTGAATTTGTGCTCCTGTTATTTTTCTCTGGGGGTTTGGGCTGTATGACATGCTTGAAAGATGCACTTCTTCGTATACTCTCCACAACAGGTTTGCATTTGTTTGGTTGGTTTGTTTTCCTATGAAGTGTCTTAAGTTTTGAAGAAAAAAAAAAATCCAATGTGCTTGTATGATGAGACTCTACCTGGAAACTAACCAGAGGTACAGGCTTTATCTTTCTTAACTTGCTCTAAGGAATGGATAAATGTCAGAAGATTGTTACGAGATGACTAAACTTGATAGTTGTGTAGATCACATGTTAACAGTTTAAAACAACCTTAATCTGTCAGCGTTTAAATCAGTAAGATGCTCTGCTTGGTTATACCAGTATTGGACTGAAGCAGCTCTACTGAACTGGCAGACTTGCAGTAGAGTTTTTCTACATCTAAAACTTATTCCCCCAGCATGCACCACATGGGCCCTTGAAAACTTCAGCCAGGCCCTGGCTAAGGGCCCACTTTGTTAGATCGGAGCCTTGCAGTGGCATAACCTGGGGTGGAATTCGGCCCTGTGGCCTGAGCAGAGCTAAGTTACCCACCATCTTTCCCCAGGCAATATATCAGAGGGATAGCTGAAACCTGTAATTCTTTTGAGAAAATGCCATTTATAGTTGGGAAAACTGAGGTAATAAATTCCTTTTAGCTTTAAACACTGATTAAAATTCTAGGCCTTCCTAACAGTGGTGGAAGCAAAACAACTGGGTATGCTGTAACTAAGTAATGCAAAGCGTGCATTGAAAGTTATGCCCCACACCCACACCGTTGTGATCCCAATTAATCTGCTTGTCTTTTCTGATAAATTAGTTTACATGGTGCCTCATAACAGTCAGCCTGAGGTAATACTTAAATTATCCTTTGCTTTTCTTTTGGGGAGAAGAGGGGAAGTAGGAGAGAGACCTCAGGCAGTGGTATGGCTTCGAGGTTTTTTTACAGCTGTCTGGACTTGCTTGGACACCTTTCTGAATCAAATAAAACTAGAATCAAGCCCCTTGGGAAAACTGTGTTGCTCTGATGTCCCTGTACTGATTCCAGGGCATCTTCCTCTCTGTTTTTAAACTTCAAGAGTTAAGGGCGTGCAAGTTACTAAAAAGCTTGTTTAAAAAAAGGAAAAAGGAAAAGAGGGGACTTCCAGCTACCACCCATTGTGATTGAAAAAACACCCAAACTTTCAAAATCTAAAGATACTGAGCAGTGGGGATTGAGTGACACTTTCAATGATAGTACATTTTCATGGCACACAGGACTAAACCATGATAGTCTAGGAATGAACAGCCCCTGTGTCTCTAGAGAAGAAAGTGAGCAGTCTGAGTTCTAGCAGCTGGTATAAAAAATATTTCTCTTTTCCTATAATAAAACTGAGGCCAGAAGAAACAGGGGCTAATACGACAGAATAGGAATCACTCCGTGAAATATGAATTTGCTGTTCAGTACATCAGATCTTCTAGCGACTACTCTTTAATACGTAGCACCTAAAGAGCAGGTGTGGTAGCGATTTTTGCATGGGGCAGTAAGTACAGTTTTTTGAGAGTGGAGGCAGCAAAACCTACAACGTGAAGGAAGGAATAGGCCTTGGGAAGTGTGAGGGACTAGTTTTGGGGCTTTTTTCCCCACCCCTCTTGTGTACACATGCATCCCCTATGCTCTGAAGCCTTCTGGAATAGGTTGTATGATGTCATGAACATAAATGTGGGCTTTAGCGTAGTTTTTCAACACGTGAATTAAATAGAGCCTGAGATCAGAGAATACTGCCATGCTTATACAGCTATTTTCTTAATAAAGCACATGCTCTGCACCTCTATTTGCTAAAACAATACTCAGTTTTCCACTGTCGAGATTATAACCAGTAGTAGTGTCCGAAGGGCCAGCTATCCCGTAGTAACGCATCAGGCAAGTTAATGAGCCAGCCCTAAAGACACTCTACACAAGACCTGGAAAATGGGTGGGGGTGGGAGAGGGAAAAGCTCTCTCCAAGCGAGCATTTCTAGCATTTTCCTGTAACCCTTACCTGGCAGATACAGCGGGCTTTTCAGCGGGTGGTAAAGCCCTATACGCACAGGTGAGTAGTTCTGAGCAGCAAATACATATTCATGTAGTGATGGAGACTAGCTTTTTTGCCTTTTTAAGAGCCACTTTTTGCCTTTTTAAAGAGCCACTGCTTTAACATGCTGGTAGGGAGACATTTAACATCCCTTACGAACCTTAGTCCTTTCTTTTCCAACTGCATGCAGTGCCACTTCTCCCAGAGGAAAATACCAAACACGTAAATACTTCTGAAAGAGTATTGAGACTATTTCATACCCATTTCCCTGGGACCAACCCTTAGAACACGCCGAGGGCCAAACACACCACTTCTGGATCCGTCCTCCTAAGCACTTCTAGAAGCCCCAAGGACTGCACCACTGGGCCCCTCCAGCATTCACTGGCAAACAGAGAAAGCTTCGTGGTACTTGCCAAAGTTCAACTAGTCCAGTTCACTGTATTAAAAGAACGACGTACGTCATCAGGAAGCAGCGTTTGCCCCTCGTCCCCACAAGCAACTGTATGGTCTACAACTGCCTTAACAAAAGTAGTCTTAACATTTGTTTATACAAAAATAAAAGTACAAAAAGCTGATGTGCAGTGAACGCGTTTTCTTTTGGTTGGCAACAACGAAGTAGTAAGGGTTTACTTTCCACCTTTATCCTGACTCCTGAAAGCTGGCTGCAGTTCCCGTTTGTGTACAAGGGCACCCGAAACAAGGCACATGAGGACACAGACTGCTCGGCTGCTTCTGGTGTACCGCGGTGTGAGGCACACAGCAGGCCGGGGGGGCTCTTACCGCAGGTGCTTTCCTAGGCAGGTGCTGAGGATGACTTGTTTAAATTCAGCATTGTCTTTTTTGAGAGCCTAGATACACTGCACTGGTGCCCTGCACAGTGAGGCTCATGGTTTTCTAGATTCACATGTCAGATTTCAGGACACCTTCTCAACAGCTCACCCAGCTGCTAAAAGCTACCCTACACCTGTAACAAACCAAGGATTTGTGGATTAAGAGGGAAGACAGGACTTTAGAATAAAGTCAAAAATTAAAAGCAAGTTCTCTGCTAAGTTACCCATTTTAAGGTCTCTAAAGCTGTAACAGGAATATTTAACAGCTTACATACGCTTACAAGTAACAGTTTTAAGTCAGTCAGTCATCTGTTTGTTTGTAATAGCAAGCCAAACAAAATCATCTAATTAGATGGAGTGTTGCAGACTGTGTCTTCTAATTGCTAACCGCTTCTGACTTCTCTCCATTTTCCGAGACTGATGACAATTGGGGGGTGGGGGGAAAATCAAAGTCCAGGATCAGAGATTAGTTTTAAAATGCTCTTAACATGAAGTTCTTGTTTTCGCCAAACAGATCACAAGAATAATCTTAATGGATTCCCCTCTTGGCCACGGAAATGCCATGCAGACCATTCCCTGTTTGCGGTACTCGCATTCAAGAATAAAGTTGTTTCAGACCATGACTCTATCCCTGAGATGTAATAGGGAGTGTCAGGAACTGCACATCACCTTATTTCTTCGGGAGAGGATGAAGGGGGGACCTCAATTCTATTAATTATCAATCACTTGTGCAGTGTAAGATGCTTCTTACACATCTTGAACTTGACAAAACATTGACTACTGCAATGTAAGAGAAGCTTATTCCAGTCAGGTTAGCTTAGCAGTCTTAAACAAGCATTGAAAAAAGTTTAAAATGTGACACGACCCCACATATTTCTTTTCAGAAGAAAAACCCTTCACCAACAACTCCTAAAATAAACCATTTATTGAGAAAAACCTTTTTTTAAAATTTCATTAATCAGCCTTGTGCATAACAAATCTGAAGCTTGCCAAAAAACAAATAAACAAAAACCAGTAAAAGTTCACAGTCAGTGCACTCAACAAACAGATTAAAAAACAAGGTCCATAACGCCTGATAACACTACAGCATTTTTCTGAACCTAAAGAGTTCAAAAATACTACATATTAACATTACAGTTCTCAATCAAATGAGAAACAGGAGAAAGAACAAAAAAAGGTATGGTCCATATACAGTAGTAATGGCACTTTCACTGAAACATGCAGCTTCTTCCACCTTGCGGACACTGTCACGTGAGCAACATGTGCCAAGTAAAACATACAGGAGCAGCAGAGAAAGTGACGCTCGTCACTTGTGCAGTCTTCGTAAGGTCAACTTTTATACTGTTTCTCAGCACAGTCTTTATGTAAATATTACATACAGTAGTGATTAAAAGATATCTTGCCAGAATAAAAAAGGCCAGAGATTGAATAACTTCATTCTTCGTCTGTGCAAACCTGTGAAGAGGACAAAGGCAATTAATTCAGTTGTCTCCCCGTTGCAGCAAGAAGATGACAGCAGATCCATTTCTTTAGCACCTTCGCTGAACATCTTGGAAGCTTTCTTCTTTCTCCCTTCTTACACAGATAATGAATTACAGCTACTTATATATGACTACGGATGCTTCCACTGTCACCACGCAGCTCTTGCGTGCCTGAAGCAGCGTTCTGCCTCTGCGATGGACGGGATTTGGCTACGGCTGCGCTGATGAGAGGGATGGGTGTGATGGTCCCAAACCCGCTGTTACTGAACCGGAATACCAAATTGAACAACTTCATGCTGGAAAATGGGACAGAATTCAATAACCTACTGTGCTCCTATTTCCTCAAAAAAGAAGTTACTAACACACCTAAATTTGTAGCTGCGACTATTTGCCTGTTCCTAAGCGAAGACTTGAACCAAAGTTCACTTAGGAACTGCAGCTTGTTACGCCAACTGCCAGATGATAAACATTCAATGTGAACTTAACGTTAA